GGGTCGAGCCGCCAATGCCTTCTGGGTAAAAAAATGTGTAGAGGGTGCTTTTGGGTAACTGTCGTCATCCGTCCGTCACTACCGACCTCCCTCCCTCCCTGAAAGCGCCGGCGGGAAATCAGTTCGCGCACTTTTCTGATCAGTGACAGCGTGGACGCCACAGCACTGCGAGCATGGATCCCACTGCAACCATCGCTGCAGTTGTGGCCGTTCTCAACACCTCACAGCTTATCATACACCTTTCCCTGAGGCAGATGCAGAGAAATCGGGCGAGGAGGCTACGGCACCGCCGTGAGAGCCTGAAGTCGGAGAGTAGCACAGAGCTGTCAGAAACCACGAGACCCAGCGCTCAGGACATCACGGTGGCAATGGGTCATGTGGATATTGTGGAACGGCGATTCTGGGCCCGGGAAACAAGCACGGACTGGTGGGACCTCATAGTGCTGCAGGTCTGGGACGAATCCCAGTGGCTGCGAAACTTTCGCATGTGAAAGGGGACTTTCCTCGAACTTTGTGAGTTGCTGTCCCCTGCCCTGAAGCGCAAGGACACCCGGATGCGAGCAGCCCTGACTGTCCAGAAGCGAGTGGCCATAGCCCTCTGGAAGCTTGCAACGCCGGACAGCTACCGGTCAGTCGCGAACCACTTTGATGTAGGCAAATCTACCGTGGGGGTTGTTGTGATGCAAGTAGCCAACGCAATCTTTAAGGTACTGCTCTCAAAGGTAGTGACCCTGGGAAACGGCCAGGTCATCATAGATGGTTTCGCCGCGATGTGATTCCCAAAATGCGGTGGGGCTATAGATGGGACTCACATCCCTATCCTGGGACCGGACCACCAGGCCAGCCAGTACATTAACAGAAAGGGCTACTTTTCAATGGTGCTGCAAGCACTGGTGGACCATAGGGGACGTTTTACCAACATCATCGTCGGATGGCCGGGCAAGGTTCATGACGCTCGCGTGTTCAGGAACTCTGGTCTGTTTAGACGGCTGCAGGAAGGTATTTACTTCCCGGACCCCAAAATAACTCTTGGGGATGTGGAGATGCCTACAGTGATCCTCGGGGACCCAGCCTACCCGCTAATGCCCTGGCTCATGAAGCCCTATACTGGCGCCCTGGACACAGAAAAAGAACTGTTCAACTACCATCTGAGCAAGTGCAGAATGGTGGTGGAGTGCATCTGGGAGGCTTTGAAAGCAAGGTTCCAGACTGAGCAGGGTAACCAGTGACTGTTAAGTTTGTGGACACAGAAGCTGAACCTCCAGTTACATACCCCCTTCACCCCCTTCCCAAAAAATAAAATCAGTTCTATTTTGTCAATGAACACCGTTGTCTTTATTACTGTTTTCGCGGGAATGTTTTAAACCGTGGACGCAGACTGTGGCGGGGGGCGGGTTTAGTGTTCTGATGCAAATGATGCTTCTAAACTCCAGGAATGACAGGCTCCGCAGTGGTGCACTGGTTATTTCAACGGAGCCTGCCATCACTCCTGGGCGGAACTGCGTGTATGTGTCAGCTATGTGAGTTTCTGCCTGGGGGAGGAGGGTTACAGATCCCCTGCTGCGTGGCTCTGTGATCCAGGATAAGGACTGCAGCATAAGATCTGTAACTGCCCTCCCCCGCCACAAAGTCACAGAGCAACCCCCCCCCCCCCAGGAGATGAAAACCACCTCCCAGACTGACCAGGGTCACTAGTGACTGCACTGTGTATGTGTCCTGATGCTGGACCTGCCCCCGCCTCTGTACTCTGCTAAAGGTGACTGTCCTGTCCAATTACCAATCCCCTTCCCCCCCCTCCAGACAGACTCTCCCTCAAAAGAACCTGACTGAAACAGTAATGAACAGAAACATATTTTTTATTAACAACCAGACAGGAAACTGGGGGGTGAAAGTTGGACGGGGGCTTGGGTGAGGCGGGCAGGAAAGGACTTTTCAAATTTTGGGGAATGACAGCCTTCTGGTGCTTGAGCAGTCTGCAGGGGTGGAGTGAGAGTTTTCACGGACTCTGCCACCCCTCCTTCTTTGGACTTTGGGAGAGGGGGGTATGGGACTTGGTGGCGGGGGACTGCGGTTCCCGATAGACTGCAGCGGGGCTCTGTCCTCCTGCCTCCGTTCCTGCAGAACATCAACAAGGCGCCGGAGCGTGTCCGTTTGCTCCCTCAGAAGTCCAAGCAGCGTTTGAGTCGCCTGCTGGTCTTCTTGCCCGCCACCTCTCCTCACGTTCCATGTGTGTCCGGTGCATTTGTGACAAATTCTCCCTCCACTGGTTCTGCTGTGCTGCCTGGGCTCAGGAGCAGCCCATTAGTTCTGAGAACATGTCCTCTCGCGTCTTCTTCTTTCTCCGCCTAATGTGCGCTAGCCTCTGGGAGTGTGATGCCAAGCTGGGTTGGGAGACAGTTGCAGATGTGGCTGTGGGAATGAGGAAAAGGCAGTGAATTCCTCCGAAAGATAAATGTGGTTGTGAATCAAGAACATAGTTTTTCTCTGTGAACAAGACCATGAACCACACCTATCACATGCGCACTCAGGACAAGGTCGAATTTTCGAACCTCGCCTTCAGTGCCTGGGCTTTTGCACTGCCGATCTGGGAAGCGGGGCAGGACACGGTACTCTCTGTAGCAGGCAAACATGGTAAGCCGTAGACTTGTGGCTGCTTAAAACTGTAGGAGTACCACTGGCCTCCTTTCACATTGAAAGCACTGCCAGTCTGTGCTGCCAGCAATCGGCCAAGCAGGAACTCTGGCCCTGTCCCACCCCCTCGCGGATGAGCCAGGGAAAGATCCCTGTATGCTGCCCCTCTCCCGCCCCCACCGCGTGGCTGTAAACCAGCGGTCACAGTTCCTGTAAAGGAACTTGTTGCAAGCAGTCCCAATACTAACAGTCCCCTACCTAATTCAAAGCAGGTCATCATGAGCGACATAACTCTCATGAGGATCCCGGACACCGAGATCCAACGGATGCTTCGAGAAAGCCTGCAGAGACCGGGGCCCTTTGCCGCCATGCTATGCAAGGCAATGATACCGGAGTACCTGCTTGTCTCCTGGCGCGGGAACGTCTCCTACTTCGGAGGACCAAGTAAAGCCGCTCTCCCCAGGAACCTGATGAACAGGCTATCCCATTACCTGCAGCAGAGCTTTGTGGAGATGTCCGTGGAGGACTACTGCTCTATCCCCGGACATATAGACAGGATTCTAATATAGCTGCAGTAGCAGGCACTAAAGAGTGGAGCAGCTTGGGCAGCACAATCATGCACAACCGGACACTGTTTGATTTTTTTTTAAATAGTTGTTACTGATTACTTAAGCGCCCAGGGGGAAGAAATCATGATTCACAGATTGTTCTTAGTATTAATATTCAAGTTTTGTAAAAAATAAAGGTTAATATGTTTAAAGCACTTACCGCTTGATCCTTCGCCTGAATCTGTGTCCAGGTTACATGCTGGGGAGGGTTGGTAGGGGATCTCTGTAAGGGTGATGAAGAGCTCCTGGCTGTCGGGGAAATCAGCGGTGCCAGCGCTGTCGACTGCCTCGTCCTCCTCATCTCCTTCCTCATCTTCCCCGTACGCTAACATGTCCGAGGAACCGGCCGTGGACAATATCCCATCCTCAGAGTCCACGGTCAGTGGTGGGGTAGTGGTGGCGGGCGCAGCAAGGATGGAATGCAGTGCCTCGTAGAAACGGGATCTGTGGGGCTGGGATCCGGAGCGTCCGTTTGCCTCTTTGGTCTTCTGGTAGCCTTGTCTCAGCTCCTTGATTTTCACGCGGCACTGCGTTGCATCCCGGCTGTAGCCTCTCTCTGCCATGGCTTTGGAGATCTTCTCGTAGATCTTAGCATTCCTTCTTTTGGAGCGCAGCTCTGAAAGCACGGACTCATCGCCCCACACTGCGATGAGATCCAAGACTTCCCGATCAGTCCATGCTGGGGCCCTCTTTCTATTAGATTGCACGGCCATCTCTGCTGGAGAGCTCTGCATCGTTGCCACTGCTGCTGAGCTCACCTCGATGTCCAAACAGGAACTGAGATTCAAACTGCCCAGACAGGAAAAGGAATTCAAATTTTCCAGGAGCTTTTCCTGTGTGGCTGGTCAGAGCATCCAAGCTCAGACTGCTGTCCAGAGCGTCAACAGTGTGGTGCACTGTGGGATAGCTCCCGGAGCTATTACCGTCGATTTCCATCCACACCTAGCCTAATTTGATATGGCCATGTCGAATTTAGCGCTACTCCTCTCGTTGGGGAGGATTACAGAAATCGATTTAAAGAGAGCTTTATGTCGAACTAAATGGCTTCCTGGTGTGGACGGGTGCAGGGTTAATTCGATATAACGGCGCTAAAGTCGACATAAAAGCCTAGTGTAGACCAGGCCTTAGGGAGATAACTAATTTCTTAACCTGAGTACAGAGACAAATACAATTGCAAAGGATTGTTGCTTGGGATGCACTGATTCAGAATTATGGTTCCCATAATGGAAGAGGCACATCTTTTTAACAGGGTCACCACGGAACCCCATTTCTTAGTGTGCAAGCCATCGTTATTGGGAAGTGCTTTGCTGGCAACATTTGCAGCGCTGACTCACAGTCCTCTTCTAAGGGCTTGATCTTGTTTTACTGAAGTCAGTGGGAGTTTTACTACTTGTTTTGTTTGGATCTGGGCTGGTTCCATACTGCAGCTCCTGGAACAGTCCTCTCTCTTCCATGTGATCTCAGCCTGCTCCCTGCGCAACAACGGGAATATTTTCACAAGGGGAAAGGAATGGAACAATTCTTTTCTGTGGGGAAATTGCTGAGACACTGACCCAAAGCCCACATTTCCATAACACGTGAGAACCAGTCTCTTCCAAATTTTATGAAACAGTAGAATAGAAATGAAAAAATAAACTACCCAAAAAGATAAAACCTTATCAGAAAAAAGACACAATAATAGAAAACAACACAGCTAAATGTTACAAACACTGACATATCACAAGGTTTTTCTGTTTTTTGAACCAGCATATTCTCCCTAAAGGGAGGCGCACCATACCTGGAAGTACTGCAATACCAGATTGATGCATGGAGTGGAAGAAGCAAGCTTCTATTCCATCTCCCTGTTCCAAAAATCCATTTAATATGAAGTTCTCACATCGAGAACATATCAGATATTAAACTGATAAGAACAGATACTACGCTTTGATCTTAGCTCCAAGGAGCCGAGAAGCGATACCTTTCTTCGGAACAGCGCGCTCCCCTCGCGCTCCCATTGCTTTCCATGTCACCAGGACCTGCTTTCATACCTTCCTAGCTACGTGCCAATCGCTGCCCCGAAGTGACTCCGATACACTCACTCAAAGCACCAACTCTCCACACCGAATTCTGCTCCCACACAGAGAATTCTCTCCGCCCGCTTCCCTGGGATCAGCCAGCTGCTCTGTGTTGCCGCCGGACACTGCTGATCTGCATAACCCCGCCCACTGACGTGTGACACCTCCCCTCGGTGTCAACTCCTCTCCCAGCCTGCAACAGATGCTGTGAGCCACGTGCTGCCGGAGCCCCGCTCTCGGAACCAGCCCGTCGGGGCGTGTCCCTCTGCCACTGATCCAGCCCCCGGGCCCGCACCGTCCCTGCCCTGCGCTCCCCCCAGCTGCTGCGCTCAGCGCAGGGAGCCGGGCAGCGAGAGCCGGGCTGTGCAGCAAGGGGAGTTTTCTGGGGGCGGGGGGTGCGCAGGGGCGATGGAATTTCCGCTCCCTAAAAGTGGGGGAGGGGGGGGCCACCAGGTCTCTCTGGGCCTCAGTTCTCCTGTCCGGGAAATGGGGCTGGCGGCGCTTCCCACCCTCGCCCGAGCCTGGGAGGGGAACTACCCTGCGGATTAGGAAGATGCTCAGATACTGGGGTGATGCGGGAGGGGCGCAGGGGGAGCGGATTAGCACCATCGTTTGGTATATAGAGTCTGTTTGGAAACAAACTATTTCCCTCAAGTCATTCCCAAAACCTGTTTTCAGCAATAACCTTGGAACAGACAGAGCAGCCTGGTTTTTGTCCCGTGTAGCCAGCCCCCGACCTGGCGCCAGCTCCCAGTTCTGCCCCATTTCTCCTACTGCGGCCCCATCTCACCTCCTGGCCCTGGCTGGGCGGCCATGGGCCCCTCGTAGCAGGGGGCTGTGCAGGGGGGTCTCCTTGCAGCCAGGAGAGAGTGTCTGGTGGGTGCTGTCACCTCTGCCAGAGACCCACAAGAAACCCACGAGCTTCCTCCTCATTTGGGGAGGGGCTCCTACTTTCTGACTTGGGGGTGTGTGTCGGGGGGGGGAGGTTCTGTGATGTCAGAGCCCGGGGGAAGGGGGAGGGATCGAATCATGACTCTGAAGTGGCAGGGCAACCTCCCTCCCCGCCCCTCAACCCCGCTCAGATTCCTCTAGGGGGCTGGGCTGGGATCTCTAGGGAGGGAGACACAAGAAAAAACAGCTGCCGCTATGGAACCCAGGAGTCCTGGGTCCCAGTCCCCCTGCTCTAACCTCTAGCCTCCCTCTGCTCCCAGAGCCAGGCATAGAACCCAGGGGTCCTGGTGCCCAGCCCCCACCCCGCTCTGACCACTAGATCCCACTCCCCTCATCATCATCATCCAAGCTGGCCCTAGGGAGATGTGTGTGTCCCTGTCGCCCCCTGCTGGACGGGCTGAGCCCTGCTCTGTGTGTGTGTGTGAGAGAGAGAGACACTGTGTTTGTATCAGTGGGCCTGGTCTACACTAGGACTTTAATTCGGATTTAGCTGCGTTAATCCGAATTAACCCTTCACCCGTCCACACTACAGAGCCAGTTAATTCGAATTAAAGGGCACTTAAAATCGATTTCTGTACTCCACCTCGACGAGCGGAGTAGCGCCTAAATCGATTTTGTTAATTCGAATTAAGGTTAGTGTGGCCGCACACCACCGAATTACTGTGTTTAAGTTAATGGGGTAGTGTGGCCGCACACCACCGAATTAATGTGGTTAAAAACCGAATTAAGGTGCTTAGTGTGGCCGCGCACAATCGAATTTATACAACCTGTTTCCCAAATTCGAATTATCTAAATTCGGATTAATCCTGTAGTGTAGACATACCCAGTGTCAGTGTGTTGCTGGGCTAACCGGTAGGAAATGCTTTTGCAGGACTTTGTATCCTGCAGCAGGTGACACACCCACACCCACACACCCCTCCACAACTCCACACAGCCAGACAGTCACACACGCTGATGCACAAAGGGACTCACACAATCCCAGACACTCACACACGACACACCAGGGGCACACACTAGCCCATCCTCACAAAGAGAGGGACAATCACACCCCCAGCCACACACACAATCACCCACACACACACACCGGAATATTCACAATCATGCTCAGAGACACAACCACACACAGTTCACTTCCACTGCTCCCAACACAAGGACCTCCTGCCCTGCACAGCATGTGCCGAGGCCTGTGGAACTCACTGCCACTGGACAGCTACCAATAGGAATGGACCTTTCCAAGAGACCAACAGACATAGCCGCGCCCGTCATAGATTACAAGCCCATATCTGGTGGCCAAGCTAGAACACCCTTAATTCTGCCCCCTTTGTACATTTCAAGCCCATATCTGGTAGTGGAGCTAGAGCAGAGCTTTTAGAGGGAGGCGCCCCATCTCAATGCAAAGACTCCAAGGGGTGCAGAATCTGCTCCATCCCTGGGGAAAATCTGCTCCTCATTTCCAGTCTGGATTTGTCTGGCTTCATCCTCCGGCCATCAAGTCTCGCTCTGCCTTTGTCAGCTGGGTTAAAGAGCCCTCTGCGCCCCCAAATCTCCTTCCTAGGGGGGAGGTTGGTGGAGAATGTGGGGGGTTTTGTAATCATTTGATGACTCAGTTTCCCCACTTGCTTGGGTGTGAAGCTCTCCATTGTGCGTGCAGGGCTTAACTTCTCCCAGGGGGAGTGAGACAGCCAGATGTCAACTAGGCCTGCCGGGGCTGGAACCTGGAATGGGAGGCCCAAGGACCAGACCACATTCTGCAAAGCAGCAGGCAGAACAGGGGGTCTAGGTGTGAACTGCGCCTGGCAAAGATTTACATTGGTGGCTGCTCAGGGCAGGGGGGAAGCAGAGCAGCCAGCATGTGCCAGGCGCTCGTAATTCGCCCAGCTAGTCCTTGCTCCTTCACTGTGGACTCCCGCCACCGCCCTGCCCAGGGGGCCGGCTTCCAGCGCCTGCTTGTGACGTTTCCAAACCAGCCTCTGCAGGTTTGGTCCCAGGAATCCTGACTCCCAGTTCCACCCCCTGCTCTAACCACTAGACCCCACTCCCCTCCTAGAACCAGGGATAGAACCCAGAAGTCCAGACCCCGCCCTCCCCCCGCCCCACACACACTAACCACTAGACCCCACTCCCCTCCTAGGACCAGGGTTAGAACCCAGAAGTCCAGACCCCCCCCACACACACACACTAACCACTAGACCCCTCTCCCCTCCTAGAGCTGGGATAGAATCCAGGAATCCTGGATCCTAGCCCGTCGCTGTAACCACTAGACCCCATTCTGCTCTGAAAGCTGAGAATGGAACCCAGGAGTCCTGGTTCCCAGTCTGCCCATCCCCTACCCCCCACCTCTCACCACTGGCTTTTTTTGACATGTGAAGATCAAGCCTGGTGCCATTAAGAGCCAGGAAGTCTTTATCACAGTTCCTTTTCCTCCCCTGAGCCCCAGCCCCTGCCAGCCCAGCACACAGGCTAGTGGGTTACAAATCCATGAGCAGGGATGTTTGTCTATCTGCCGTAGCCCACTGCCTCCCTGGTTACTGTCGGACGGGGCTCCCAGAGGCTAACGCAGCCCCAGGGCCAGGGTAAGTGCTATGCTCCTGGGATCTCACACTCCCGGGAACTTGTGTTTGGAGTGTGGTTGTGTGTGTGTGTGTGTGTGTGCGGGGGGGGAGGGGGGGGAGACAGAGGCTGTGTTTAGAGTCTCAAAGCATCTTAAACTGAAATGGAAGGTGTTTCTCGGCCTTTTTTAGCTCTCGGGACATCTACACAGAGCACATCACCGGCCACCGCCAATACTGAGAGTGAGCCGGGGAGACCTCGTCCACCCACAAGGGGGAAGAGACCTATAAACCCCCCCTGCTGGACTTTATCCCCTGAGCCCTGAACCCACCGAACCTAACTGAACCCCACCACGTGAGGGTCACCCCATCCCCATTTCCCAGCCCGCTTACTTATACCCATGACTGTCTGTACTTTCTGTATGAGTGATGGACCCTCACCGCTTGCCGGCTGTATCTTGATCTCGCCCACCGTTTATGCCCCCACTGGGGACATTGCAGTCTGTATATATTATGTGCTACCCAACACCAAAATACTAGCATCCCCCCATACTCTGTATGTTACCCCCAATGACCAATAACTGACTTTTCAAACTCTACGTATCATCTATTTTGAATCATTTTCTTATAAACTTTTAAATCTGTTCTTAACAGTTTAATAATTTCTTTTATTGATAAGCTGCTACACTGAAGCACTATATCTGCTGCTCTAAAAAAGAGCTAATGGGATGCATCCCGCTGCCCCTAAAACACAGCCCAAAATGCTGGCCACTGCCCCAGCATGTCACAGGCTCCCGGTCATTGTCCTGCACAGGCTCCCGGCCATTGCCCCCGGTTCTCCCCTGACAGCTCCTCAGACCGCTGCCCCGAAAAAGACCCTCGGGGTCTCAGAGCCACGGCGAACCAGCAGCTATAGAGGAAAGAGCGAGAGTGGGAAGGACCCCCCTCGAGATGCTGCCACAGAAAGCTCCCACATCCCGAGACCAGCCTGCCGGGACATCACGGAGAGGAGGAACATCCACCCCGCTCTCCAGCCGCCGAGGGGTCACCCCGCCGTTCTCCTGCCGCCGGAAGACTCTCCGGCCGACCACCAGCGGCTGCAGCCACCAGGAGTCTGCCCTGTCGCGCTCCTGCCGCCGGGGAAGCCTCGCGCTGAAGGCCAGCAGCAGGGAGCCTGCCCCACCACGCGCCTACCGCAGGGAGCATCGCGGACCGATCGCCTGCAGCTGCGGCCGCTGAGAGACGGCCTCCCAGCGCCCCCGCCGCCGGAGAACTCTGCTGCCACCCAGCTGCTGCTCCTCCAGCCGGGGGACTGCCTCCTCGGGTCCCAGCCGCTTGGGAGACCAGCCGTCGCCCAACTGCTGCTCCTGATGCCTGGTAAGTGCCCCACTGAGCCGCAGC